AAGACAACTCCTTCTATCAACAAAAACACAAGTGGGTGCAACTATGAATAATTCACTAGCACATATTGGATCTCTCTGTTGTGCTTGCTATATACAATAATTCTAATAAAAAGTAACAATAATTACATATAATGTTACTAACATTTTAATTGAAACGTTTTCTTTACTTATAACTTATTTAAACCTTTCAAGAACTAAGTTAATTAATATTATTATGATTTTCCCTTATTACTTTTAATGAGTCCGTAGTCTAACTAAGCAAGGCAAGGGTTTCGCAACTAAGATGTAAATATTACTTGTAAACTAACATTGCCTACTACCCTGGAGATTATAACTTCGATTTCAGCTATTTGATTTTAAAATCAGTTAAAATTTTTACAAAAATGGCTCTATTAAAATAAACAATACTAAATACCCAAGGGTTACGCATACACCTTATAATTTACTCAAACTCCTTTAAAAAACTACTTATAGTAATGACGTTTTTCTTATATTTTATGCACACACAGTATTTACATGAAATTTAAAGTTTTACACGATTATAGTAGCTTATTACACATATAGTAATTAGTAGACATTCTTAGGTCGCGTGGTCTACGCTCCAATGCACCCCGGAGTTGCATTAATTGGATTAAATTATCATCAAGTGTTGCATTGTAATCAGTTTCCGTTTTCTGTACAAATAGGAAGGCGGAATGACAGATGGTGACAGGTGATGGCTTTAGTTTATTAACACCACATATATATATAATTTAGTTAATATACAATACAGTTTAGTAATTAAAGCTATCCAATATTACTATTGTTATACTACTCCTATTACAAGTATGATACTTAGCTTTATTGTGTAAGTATAAACTAGGGGTCTTAAAGGCCGGTATTGGTATCTCGTAATGTTGCCATGGAAACCATTGTAATTTCAAAAACTTTTCGAAGCCTCAGGTCGTTTGTCGCCTGTGCCATAATATAATAAAACAGACACGATAATGTATTCACCAGCTTAAATTTTTTGGATACATAAGAGCAATTATTAAAATTTAAAATGTCATAAGCATTGTCTTATAACTTTCCAAGAATCACTGACAACTCATAAAACATAATTAAAATCAAAGTATACGCGATATAAATCTTACAAAGCGACAAATATGTAATTTGTGACAGAAATACTAGGCACTGTAATTATATTTTCAATCAGTTCAAATCAATATGTATGAAATCGAAGCAATGGTATTTATGTAATTATTATGTCTATATTTACGAACTGAGACAGCTATATAAAAAGGCCTGTACGCAATAATGACAATGCGTTTATCGTAATTGTGCCATTACCAGCTAGTTCAGCACGAGTTAAGGCTGACACAGAACGGACACATTCGTCATACATATTTTAAAAAATCTTATTTAATAACTCTACTAAGTATATCTTTGTTTAATTTTTAGTATACAATACCGGAATTTAATGTTATAACTTATATAGCACGTCGTTTGCACTCGAAGTCTGTTATGATAATTCAAGGTCTATCTGCTAGTAGACGCTTAATAAAGCCTTTGTAGCTTTTCAGCCTTTGTAGCACCAGAACGTTGGCTCGCAGAAAATATCGAGAGTTCTTTTGCCGTTTCTTCGCTAGGTCTATATAATCACTACTAAATCATTAAATGTGTAGATTTCTGGAGATACAATACCTTCTTGTAGGTAAAATGTTGATTTCAGAGTCAGTCGGAAGTCTAGGCAATCACCGATAATGTGACACGTTTTGAATAAGATGAGTTTACATAATGGCATCTTATGAGGCAGACGATCGATGATCACAAGATTTGTGAAGACCCCCCACAGTAGTCCTAATAATATATTTAGACGACTTCCCAAGAGAAGATTTTACTGAACGTCATGAGTCTACTGGGAGTTCGGAAAGAAGAAGCCTCTGACCTGAGAAGAACTGGCGACTATTGTTACCTAACTTTAAGGTTATTTGTAACAAGATGTGCCTGATACGGGTCGATAGATAGATCTCGTGAGTGGGTTTAGCAGCAATCTTATAAATAAGTATTTATATTCATGGAAACTAGTACAGCAGATATTTAATTTAGAGTAAATGAAGAAAAATATCCACTATTTTATGATACTTTCAAGATGAAGATTTAAACAAAATAGATCAGTAGTTACTATGTTTCATTCTCGGGTTAGCGGTTAGAAAAGTTATTAGCTAATGTTAATAATAATATTAAAGTAGAACCTTATATTAAACACTGATCAAATAGCCAATATATAAACATTTTTCATTGTCTCGTCATATACATATTAGAACTTGGTCCACCCCAAACAACAAATTATTGCTATGCTTTTGAATATTTATGTTTGTACTATGTAAGATTCGTCACATTTTACACTTATAAAAATATTGTTTAATACGCTAAATTAAATAATAAAAGTTAATTGACAGATATATGAATGCGGATGACACAAATTAATCAAGTTAGCATTATTTTAAAGACTTTCGCGCAGTCTGCACGCGATCTTATATTAAAAGTAATAGTGTGAGCGGTAAAACACAATTCTCTGATATGGGCCCACCACGCCCACTTGTAACATTCTCTTTGTACACTCAATAAGAAAATAAATAGATCTCCAAGTTGTTATTCATTTTCGAAATCAGAAATAAATAACATTTTCTCCTATTATAGCTAACAAATCTTAAAAAATAAGCAAGTTCTTCTATTTATATAAATTTATTTCGTGTAAATATATATTATGTATCTAGGAAACGGCTCTAACGATTTGGATCAAATTTTGTATTTAGGTAAGGCTTTGATCTTTAAGTTTATCTTTATAGGTAGGTGTATTTTCTGAAAAAACGCAATTTTATATCTTGTACGAAAAGACGCCGAGCAAATCTCGGTTGCCCAGGTACTTAAACTGCCAATATAGTATATAAGTGACTTTAATAAAATCACTTGTAAGGTTTGTAAGGTTTTATAGTTCGGCTCTAAAAACAGTCAGCAGCTATCAGCGTAACAACTTAAATCAATTTCAGTTGTAATGCCAATTAAAAACTGTATTTAAGATTGAACTACTGAGTAGTTAAATATTAAAATAGTATTAAAGCCTATTTTAAAGGCATGTACAAACTCGAAGCAATAAACGGTAATGATTTAAACGCATGCTTAATATTTATTCAAAATGCAATATTTAATGTCTAAGTGTATTATAATTATATAGCTGACGTCTATATTTACTTAACTGTGACAAAAAATTATTTTCGCTAGTTATCTAATTAATACAAGCTCTTTTTTTGTCCTGACTGACTGATATATCAACGTACAACCTAAACCGCTAGTCCTAGAGACGTGAAATTTGGAGGGTGTGTTCTTTATGAATTGTAGCTGTCTAACTAAGAAAGAGTTTTTTGAAATTTCGAGGGTGAAATGGGAGGTTGAATTTTCTGTGTAACTTTTTATTTTCCGAGTCGATTAACTCGAAAATTGGTACACACACTCTTCAATTAAAATTATGAGACACGTGTCAAATAGGGCTTCGAAAATCATACACGGCACGATGGACGGGCGCATGGCGCACAGGGTGCCGCAGTGCGTGCGGGGGAGCAGGTATGTTTCTGTGTTACTTATAATATAAAGTCAAAGAATTTATTTTTTTGTAGTTTTAACACGAGCAAAGCCGCGGGTTCTGCTAGTATCTATAAATTAGTATAATTAAAACGAAATGTTCGTTGGTAAGCGAAGCGCATCACTTGCCAACGACTGGGACGATTTAGCTATTTCTTTAAAATGTTCGTAATAGGGTCATTCTACTTTTGGAGAGAAAAAAAAAATTAAAAAAAAAAATCTTGAATTTTACGGTTTTTTCACTTTTATTTTATTTAATATCACAAATAATCACAATAAAAATTAGAAGTAGAGGTCGTGTTCTATTAATTTTTGAATAAAACGATTGATATTGAAAAATGGTGATAACAGAGTTGAAGCAGCACATCACAGTTATGACGATTTTCTAATAAAATAGCACTTAAAGATATTGAAGAAGATTCACTACAGGGTATATTAGAAAAACAGCCCCCACGTTAACCAAAAACAAAATAATCATCGACAAAATTAATAACAATAGGTAAAAAAAAAATATCAAAGATGTGATCACATAAATGACGTCCTGTCTGTTATCATCTAGCAACATTTAGATACGATATAATAGCTCAAAATTCTATAATTACAAAATAGTTTAAAACATAACAAAGGACTTGTTTTGCATTAATTTATATATTTTTCTTAAATATTACAAAGTTTAAATTAATTGAGATCAATTTTAACGCAATAAATAATTTAAGCTTTCAACGCAATAAACAATTTAATCTTAAAGTATCGGTCAGGAGGTCGCAAAACGGCGATGCAACCTAGTCGAAAATTCAGGCTAATCAAACGCAAAAATACCTCTCATTAAAGAGTTCTTTTTTGTTACGTAACAAGTAAAGCAAAAATTTAAAAAAGAAGATTAACCAGGAAGTTAAAAAATGTTTTCTTCTGAAGAGCTCGATGATTGTAATATGAGACACTTTCTTGGCTTTCGTACTTCCGATTCAAATTCAGAAGTAAATATTCGATCTATATATTTTTTTCTCTTTATTACTTTTTCAACTCTCTCATCTGAAGAAGAATTGTAGTAAAAGTTTCGGCTGCGTTTTCAAAGAACCGACACCGCAACAGGTTTATTTTCATGATCTGAATCATCAAAATTTGACAGATTGTCATCGTCAAGTACACACAATACGGTATTTCTGTGAGAAGATCCGGGCTGTTCAAAAAAACGTGAATCATTACACTCAGAATCATCAAAAAGTGTCGAGCATTTTCTTTCTTTAAGAATAGACGAGCTAGCCATTAGGAAAGGATTGGGTTCCTGTAGAATACGACGAACTGAGTGAGAATTATCAAATCGTATTAAAGATTCGGTACAAGGAGGAGAACTGCTTTCTGATGCGCGAGCTTTCTTATGTTTTTTTGTCTGAAGTATCTAATGTATGATCACTATGTGACGAGGAAGGAAGAACTTCACCTTCATCGAAGCTGTCACGAATGGCTTCTGTATTGATTATACCTATTTCATAATGTGGACAGATTTGATGTGGATGACATTCAGTGCAACTTAATTTTCGAGCATTAAGAAGACCCGGGCTATTTTTGTTCCAAGCTACTTGGTGTATGGTGAATGTACCTTTAAACGTTTGCGTCAAACTTCTTGACAGCAAATGTTCAATGGTCGCAACATTGTCATCATCTACAGGTAAAATTTGTACACCCTTGCAGTTTTTTATCAAACATTGAACCAATTGTTGAAAATTAGCCACGTCATAACCTCTGGCTACCGATTGATCTGCTGTCCGTTTTATGGTTGCGCCAATTCCATCAGGTGATCCTTTGCCGTGTCCAGTTTCATTGTAATGCCACACTAGATTTGGCACGTCTAAATTTACAGCAAGGAAATTAGCCATCAAGAAAAACATTGATTTATTTCGATATTGCGAAGATGGTCCGTCACTAACAAAATGCATGGTCTTTATGGTAGAACATAAACCTTTGATTATTTTAATAACTGGTAGTAAATGATTGCAAATCAATACTGGGTCATGCCTGAGATTTTCAGAAATTGTGCAAAATGGAGTTATGATAGAGTCAGATTCCACGAAATGTACAACGCTGTTACAACGCGTTTTGTACTTCTTCAGTCTTATCTCCATTATTCGCAGTTTTTCTCTCAGCAAAACGTTCTCTAATTTAAAACGTCTTTTGTTCTTTTCTCCTATCCTCCTACCAGACTCTGCTCTTGATCTAGAACTAGAAGATGTAGGGCTATCTGGAAGAGTGTCATTTTCAACAAAATCCTCAGTTTGTTGACGAATTTGTTCCATTGCTTTTTTCTTATCACGATATTTTTTCGGTCTTTCTTTCCACTGCTGTATTATTATTTTTTTAGCTCGAGGTATTAATTCATTGATGTTACTTATCAATCCCTGTTCTTTTTTTCGGTTGTATCGTTCTCTGTCTTTTTTTCGCCTTTGTTCCAGTTGTTCTTCTGATAACTTCTGTCGGTGTCGCCTCATGGCGTGTTTTACTTGCTCTCTACGTTTCTGTGAATTTTTTTTTTAGTTTTCTTATTTTGTCTTGCATTTGGAGCCACGTTGCAGCTAAAAATAACAAAAATTATCTATAAACTCCTATCGTCTATTAATCATTTCCACAAGCAATATTTCGTCATAAATATAAGTTCTAAATACCTATTTATATCAAAGTAGCAATATCACCAATATTTAATTAATATTATTCCCAAACATTTAAATATAACAATAAAAAAATCCAAATTGTCACTTCAGTGATCGTACATCATTTCTGTTATCATGCTCATAACAGGCGTGACGATCACGGAAATGACGGAACGTAGGTTTACCCGCCATATTTCTCTTGATAACAAAGTCAAACACTTTTACTCCACTAGTATCATATGAAACATCAAAACGTATGCAAGCCGAGTGATTTTACATTTAATTTCAAAAACCTTACCTTTGCACAGCTTAAGCAGAGATGACGCACGAACTTTTACACAGTGAAAATTACAAATATATTATTTTTTTATTAAAAAACGAATAAAACTCTTTTCACTCTGAAGCCGCCATCTAAATGACAGGTAACGTAATGTTGCAACTTACTTGAATTTAACCAAGCTAAGCAATGTTACTAGATTTTTTTAAAAATTTTACCCCTGATAACAGAAATGACAAATATTTTGTAACACAAGTAGAATCATGTATAACTTTTCGTGTGCTTCGCTCAATTTTATATGCTTTAAGTATCATTAACTGGACTATATTTCAAAACTAATTATAATAGTGACAGGTTAAAAGACTTAATAATAATATTTTTTAAAGTCACCTAAATGTTACAACATATGAAAGCCACAGATAACAGGACATGACAATTAGCAATTCCGACCCTTAAAATTTTTTGAAAAATAAAAATTTATAACTAATTTATTGCACCTAATGAAAATTACGATTGAGATCCTTTATAAAAGCTAAAAATGAGACCATAAAGTAAATTAATTCATGTTAATTTTCCCAACGCACACTTTTTTTGCTGTAGAATAGAATTACCCAATAGTATGAGGTTACAGGGAAAAAATGATTGGAATAGTTGCAACTTGCAAGCGTAAATTGTAAAATTCAAGAGAAAGTGATAATGTTTGTTTTTAGTGTCTAGCTTTTCCCGCGGCTCCGCTCACGTAGTCTATTTGTGTATAATTGTTTCAATCCTTAAGTCGTAGGGTGATGATTTATAAGCCTACTTATAACTTTTCTCAAGAACTGAGCTATCAAATGCTAAAAAGATTTTTCAAATCTTAGTTCCAGAGCTAAGCGCGTTCAAACTCTTCTTCAGTTTCATTATATTCGCGGCTTCGCTCGCCCTAAAACGACATACTTAAAAATCTCAAAAAAAGTAGTTTCATACAAACTTTCACCCCCTATTTTACCCTCTTATAGGATGACTTTCGAAAAATGCTAAAACACGTATTTATTGAATTTTATTTAAGAGCATTAATACCAAGTTTAAAGTAATTCTGATCATAATTATTTTTGGTATTATATTAAAACGTGTTTTTCCGTGCCTTTGTCACTCTCCAGTGCTCCAACTATTCCCACACAAAAAATTACGCTAATCCGTTACTCCGTTTCGTCGTGAAAGAAAAACAAACAAACACATTATTTTACATTTATAATATTAGTATGGATATAAAAGAAATTTTTTAACAAATCACAATAGCTTACTGAAAAATATAGTTGTTATCTACTACTAATTTTAAAAATAATATATTATTGCAAGACTAAGAGATTATTATAAACTTAGAATTTAGAAAACTATAATTAAGTATCTTGACGAATGACCAAACGTATAACTTCATAGATACTTTAATCTTTACCCCTTGTTAAATGCACCGGCACCCAACCGCCAACGTAATTGTGTTTACAATGTACGAAGTCTAAATATTAGCGCAAAAGATTAAGATGAAGTTTTTCTTATATCTACTATTAGTATAGTTAAAATATTTTTATGATATCTAATTATGTTTATGCAACCTTAATTAGAGATCTGTTAAAAATATGCAGAATTGTACTAAAACTATTAATTTAAATCTTTTTTACATCCTCTACCCGCATAACGAGTAGGCTATGCAGTTGGAAAAGTTTAAGAATAGATTTAGGAGTACCTACCTACCGTTTGATTTTCGCGAAATGCCTTCATATGCAGCAATTTCATAAACAAATGATTCTATTTAATATCTACATATTACAAAAGTTTCATATTCAGTATTCAGTTTTAAAAGATTTGACGCAATCGCACACATTTAATGACTTTTGTTAGCAACATTACCCAAAACAATTGTTACAGTTATGGAGTAATGAAATAATTTCGATTATGCAACATAAACAAACTTTCCTTCGTCATTGAAAGTGCTAATACAAATATTTATTTTATCTATCTAAATCTATAATTAAATTCCCTTCTGATATAAAGTAATTATTTGCTCATCCATCTTTGATAAATCACTCATATTATATCCTATCGACAACTTGATCGCTCATCGCAAAGTATTTAATAGGAAAATATCTGATGTACTTGAATAGAAATACTTTTTATTATATAGGATGTCCCAGAATGCCGAGTCAAGCGGAAGTCCAGAGATAGAGCAGTGTAACAACTATACCTTCAAGACATGTAACACCTCAGTCTCTCCCGTGACCATGGATGCTGTAAAGCATTCGAAACGTCGGGAACCAAAAATCAAAATAAATCCGCGAAATAATCCGAAAAGATAGTTTTATTTAAAAATGTCAAACATTCGCGTAAATCTAAGAAAGTATTAAGTTTAGATAGATTTAAATAGATTTACAAGATTTATATAATTATGACTATGGTTAATTAAGATCGTGATAACGAACTAAACTTCGATATCTTCAAGGATATAAAGAAGTTGTTATCATGCTCATGAGAACTAAATGATATTGCCTACTCTCGTTTTAAACGAACGCAAAAACGTAACGTATACCCACTTAATATGTATATATAAATACCTTTTATATGCTATTTTGGTACATTAATTCTATGAAGAAGAAATACCCGTATGAAGAAATAGAATTACCCTTGCTTCATATTCAACTATTTGGATTTATCATATTATGATACTAAACATAATACAATAGAGTACATAATTTCATAAAATGTAACAAATCATAGCCATTGAGCAAATAAATACTGTATTCACGTTACCCTAAGTTTTTCTAGAGCACTTTTAAAATGGTCTCAATCATTTTTTTTAGTGTCTTCTCGACATAACTATAACCTAATTAAAATAGTATAACGATGTACTCTCACACCCGGGTTCGCCTAGAACTAGATGTATTTATAATATTATATTTAAACACTTTTCTTTACGCGATCTTTTGGCAAATTTTATTGCTAACAGTAGTTTCAATTTTATTACTATTGTTACTCCAGGTTATATCTGTGTACTAAATTGCATCTAAATCTATCAGAATTGGCAATATAGCTTAACTAAAAAGATAAAAAAAATGTAAAGGAATGGAAGAAAATGTAAGTTTTTATTAAGTAACGAATCATTATTAGTTTTAATTAGTTTTACGTGTCACAAATTAAGAATATTAATTAAAAAATAAAATAGACAACCCTAGCAGTGAACGGGAGATAGATACCTTCCATCTTAATGTGGTCTTACTGAGTGTAATCAAAAGATATTGGGGCAAGAACGCGGGAATGGGTGTGTCCCGCCTTTTATTCTATTATGAACGTTCCAGACAGTTGGTACATTATTAAGTAGACTACAATGAAAAAGTTACTTAAATATGTACACTTATTACTTAATTACATCCCTACAAACCTAAGGTGCTACATAAAACATTTTAAAATAATACAAACCATGATTTTAAAATAGTTTTCCAGCGATTCTTATAAAGACTCAAAAGTAAATCCGGTACCTATGTAGAGTTACTTCTATTCAATGCCACTAATATCAAACGCATATTAAAATAATAACTTAATATACTTACAATTTTCTTTTAAAGCAGGTTTAAATTTATAGACATTTTTTATAATTATTTCGCACGGAATTTTAAGTCAAAAAAAACTTAAAGGCACCTCCTAAAAGGTACTTGTCACCTTTAGTGTAGACGACAGACGAAGTCAGATACATATTATGCGCCGCTGCACCAATTATTAATTGTTATAATGGTCACGATTATTTAACGCTTTAGCCTTTAGGTAGGTATACTAAATTGCTACGGTTTTCACATCTCGCAAGTGAATTATTAGTTCTCAGATAAATAGTCTATTCATTACACTATACTATAGTGAGAAAGCAACATTTATAAAGTTCTTGCTTTATGAACTCAAGTATTTTACATACCTATTACTATTGTACCAAAACATGTTATTTTATTGTTCCACTAGCGGTTCACCCTCGCTTCGCTCGTGTGCGACTCTTAGAAAAACTAAAACAGATCTATCCCACGGAAACGGTACATTTTTCCGGAATAAAAAGAAGCCTATGTGCTTATTCCAGACTATAATCTCTGTGCCAAATTTCATTCAAATCCGTACCGCCGTTCTGGCGTGATTGAATAACAAACATCTAAACGTTCACATTTATAATATTAGTAAGGTTGCATGAAAAAGGGTAAATTAACAAAAAAGAATCGAATTATATTTTTTACCAGGGATTTGTTTCCTTTATTAGGATACCGTTCATTCATAAAACTGACGCCATATAGGTGTTTATAATCAGTTTTATCAAATGACTCACTCTTATAACAGTAACGCCTGTATTCAATTACAATATAGGTACATCGGAAGGCTTCTTTAAATGACTCATACTACTTTAGAAAACCTGTTGTAGGTGCACCATTGTAAGCCTTTGATGCACCTACAAAAGTTTTCTAAATTTTAATTAGAATAGTCATTCGTTAATATGCATAAACAATAATGTACCTACATACGTATAGGCCCTATAAATTAATACCAATTATTTATAAAT